AACATATATTTATTTTTATTAATCCACTATTTAGGATTATGGAGGTATTAATTAATATTGGTGATGTCATGTATTATTATTTATCACTATATATTAAAGGCTAAAATTGGATTAGGATAGTTGTTGTTAGAGATGTATTATTCATTGGTTTTCAGGGGCTTGTTAGAAGGAACTTGCTCGTGGGTTTGACCCACCTTATTTTTATCTTTCAAGTTCTTAGAAGTTCAAGTCTCGAGGTTGAGGATTCGTAACTTGGAGGCTTATTTATCATGTACTCTTGTTTATTTCAAAGTAGGATATTATTATGTCATTTGACTTTAGTATTTATGGATTTATGGATAGTGGATTCTGGTTAAAGGGTTCTTGAGTTACGGGACGCCCGAGTTGTAACTTTTGGAGAATTATTATTTAATGGAATTATTATTTATTAGTTTTATACAGCGATTTATTTGTTATTTATTATTCATCTTTGTATTCTATGCTTGTTAAATATATATTGTTTTGATATCCTCTGGTTTTATGACCGTCGACTTGATCAACCCATGTCTCTGAAATTAGGGGGTTTCACATTCAACATCTGTATAATATGAGGATTGAGATGTCAATTCACAATGCAGCTTCACCACAGACCCAACTTTGAGTTTCATAGCCTTTACTCAACAAAATACAGTTGTTTCAATGACAATCATAATGACCAAAACAAGGTAAAGTAGCTTCAGTACACAGAGCAATCCATTTAGCAAAAAGCCTTCACTGACTAGGTCTCAAGGATGAATACAAGTAGTGACCACAACACAGTCCAACGAATGGCTAACAAAACTCCTTAATATCAATATACACTTGTCCATATGATAAGGATGATGAATATTGCAAGGTAACAAAATATAAAGCTCAAAACAGAAGTCTGTGCACCAGAAAACACAACTGTCTAGATTTGAGATGTCACTCTCTAATGCAGCTTCAATATAAGCAACAACATGGTTTCTACAGCCTTATATCCACTATATATTCTTGCTCAAATGAAAAACAAAATTAGTAGCAAGATATATCACAGTCAATACACAATAGGGTTTGTTTCTGCAATTCTAATGGTCTCAAGGGTAAAAGGGGAATTTCGTGTCAATTCAAACCAGAACCTTGTTCTCACAGCCTTATATTAACCATATGCACATGCTCAGATGATGATTACAATGGAAGAAGCATGGTATAGCAATGACAGTACTCAATAGGCCTTATTTTAGTTGAAAACCCTAGTTATGAAGGTTCACAAGACCAAACATTGCAATGGTCATTTTTCTGGACAAATCTCAACTTGAACAGCCTCAAATCAGATATGTAAACATACTTAGATGAAAGAGATGCAACTCACAGCAAGATATCAAATATATGAGCACATATCAGAGGGCTTAAACCAGAAAATAGCAACTAATCATAGGTATGAGACACAAAAATAAACTACACCAGTAATATATATAGAAACTTTGTTTCTGCAGTTGTAAACTAGCAAAACAAACCTGCCTCAACTTTTGTATACATTTCAATATATATACAATTGTAGACATTACCCCTGAATTTAACTTGTTTTAGTTGTTTTATAGTCTTGAAGAATTCTGAGTATAATTTATAACTTTTAATTGATAACTTATTTTATTATTTATTTATTTTTAATGATGATTTGAAAATTTTAACATCCCTTGTAATTTTAACATCCCTTGTATTTTAACAAATGCTTCTGGGTTTCACATTCTGCCACCAAATTGGGGAAACTTAATTGCATGGATGGCTCACCATTGGAGAGGGAACTCCTCCATTCACAGCAAATCGGTTTCTAAACTGGCTCTATCATCCCTCCTTTACAACATTTGGACAGAGAGGAATAGGAGGATTTTCCCAAAAAAAAACTGCTTTCAGCAAACGTAGTCCTCCACCAAACCTTGGATGCAGTGCGATCTAAGCTTATGTCAACCTCCATCAAAGACTCAACTAATGCAAGAAGGTTTGCTGGTGAATGGGAATTGCCTAGCTAGCTCTGTTATACGACCACTAGCGGAACCACCTGATCAATGATTAGCGATTTCATCAGCGGAGGAGTTTCACCCATGTTGTCACTAGATTTGTTGGATCCAACAACGGTTTCCTTTTCTGTTAGCCCATCTTGGGTTGGGGCCATTGGGCTGGGCTTATTTGTTCCCGCTCTGTTGCATTTATAATAGCTTGGCTTATTTCAAGCCTGGGCTTATTGTTCACGCGCTATTGCATTGAGGACTTGTACATTGTTTCTTATATATATAAAGTTTGAAATTCACCTCTCAAAAAAAAAAAAAAAAAAAAAAAAAAAACCTTTAAAGATCATGATCACGCATCATAAGACGTACAGCATACTCTCTTTGTCTCTGCATCGGGAAAAAATAAAATAAAATAAAAATAAACATAAATATTTCTCATCAAATTGTATTTGTATACATTTTTCAATATATATATACAATTGTAAAGAAAGTTTCAAGTCAAAAGGAAAAGACCTCATACGTACGTCGATGGTTACAAGTTGACAAACGGTTAGACAAATTAATTTGGTGCTTGCATTTCAAAGGGAACAAATAAAAAATGTTGTTGGGTTCTCCAAAATAAATATTTGAAAACCAAGAAAAACAACTACTGCAGAGACAGAGAAGATGGGGCTGCTGAAGTGACACTCACCTGCACGGCTCAAGGCAACTTCAAGTACTTCGACTTCGTCATAAGTGTCCTTTTCACTTACTCCTCACCATGCATATGTTCATATATATATATAGTACTTAAACTGAAAAACAATGGAATTTTGCCCCGCAAATCTCGTAAATATTGATTGTTGGAATATTTTTTGGCAAGTCCATTTTTTTCATTGTAATTTAAGTTTTTATATATTTGTGATGGTATTTTATAAAATAAAAAATAAATTATTTTTTTCAATATGCACGTCTGAAACAAATTTCTATTATGTACACACATGTAATTAAATTGAGTACTTGAATGAGTTGCTCGCGTGGCTTAAGTTAAGGCAATTCCTGTTACTGCGACATCATATGTGCATTTATATCTATCAGGCCTTAATCATCTAAGAGATGGCATTTCAAGACTTTTTGTATAAAAAGAAATTGCCTAATTCATATAATATATAAATAGGTGTATATATATATACAAACATATATATATATATATCACGCAAGCACATGTTTATTTCCGATGAATAAATATGCATCATGAATTTAATATCACAAGTGAAGTGACTGTGACCTAGCATTCATTCCTCTTTTCCATAGTTGCCAACAAATAAAGGATCCCAAAGAAAATAACCATTCAGTAGCATTCCACATCTCTGCAAGCTGTATTCAAATTTGTTTCCATGCAGGATAACGCATAATATATAAAGGGAGGATATTCGGACTCCATTTTCTTGCAATTTCATTCTAATCTTAAAAGAAGTGATATTTCTAATCTTAACTTTATAGGTAAATAAATTTTTTTATTTTTATTTTTTAAATACCACATTTACCCTTTGAAAGTTAAAATTATCTTTTTGTGTCTCAATTCCACTATTTCTTGTTTGTCAAACAAATCTAAATCTTTTACTCCGTACTTCTCAATTCCTCGGTTTCTTGTTCTTATTGATATTAATATCCTTTTTGAAGCACGATTGCCGCCTCTGAGAGAAAATTCTGAGCACTAATTACGAAGAAAAAATGAGCAGCTATAGTGGAGGTAAAATACAAATTAAAAAATAATAAAATACTTTAATGAAACTTTTGAAATAATAAAAAATAAATCACAATGCAAACTAAATTTACAAGATCAACCATTATTGTCATTTGTCACCAACCAAACATAAAACATGCACTAGATAAAAAATAAAACATGCGCTAGATAAAAAATAAAAATACTTTCATGATGCTTCTGAAAAAATAAAAATAAAAACTAATGAAAAAAAATCATAATCCTATCTAACTTACCCGATATAAACACCAATTACAAAGAGATAGTAGATGTAAAAGTAAAACATATAATAAAAAATCAATTTCTCTTTCCAATTGTATTTCCTTATTCAATACTGTATATTCTATCTCTAGACTTTTTAATTTTTTTATAATACATTATTTATTTCAATATGTAGAAACATCACTTTCCTCTATTCTTACCAAACATGTAATATTTTTTAATTCTATTTCTTCGTACTAAAATTAAATTCGTAGAAGAATTTTTACCAAACAAGTATTAATTTATAATCTATAATACATGTATTACAATTTCTATATATAATTAAAATTATTAAGTTTTAATCTATATTTATTAATCTAAAAGTTGGTAAAGATTGATTTTTAATTAATCAATTACTTATTTTATTTTAATTGGTAACTCTTTCTTCTTCTTCTTCTTTTTTTTTTTTAATATGATGGTTTAGTTTACACTAATGTAAAGATTAATTTTCAATTAAACATTTACGTTTTTTTTTTTTATTTTAATTGGTAACTTGTTTTATTATATGATAAATTATTTTATTCAACAATTACCTATTTTATTTTAATTGGTAACTTGTTTTAGTTGTTTTATAGTCTTGAAGAATTCTGAATATAATTGATAACTTTTAATTGATAACTTATTTTATTATTTAGTTATTTTTAATAATAATTTATATTTTTTCACTCCCCTTATACTTTAAATAATGGTATAGATAGGCAAAAACCCCCTTTGGACATCATGATCTACGCATCAAAAGACGTACAGCATGCTCTCTTTTCTACATTCGAAAAAATAAAATAAATAAACATAATATTTCTCCTCCAATTGTATTTGTATACATTTCAATATATCAACAATTGTAAAGAAAGGTTCAAGTGAAAAGGAAAATACCTCATCCGTACGTCAATGGTTACAAGTTGACTGAAGGTTAGACAAATTAATTTGGTGCTTGCATTTCAAAGGGAGCAAATAAAAAATATTGTTGGGTTCTCCGAAATAAATATTTGGAAACCAAGAAAAACAACAACTGTAGAGAGAGAGAAGATGGGGCTGCTGAAGTTGGAGTTTCTGGTTCTGATTACTCTCAGTTGGACACTCATCTGCACGTCTCAAGGCAACATCAAGTATTACGACTTCATCGTAAGAGTCCTTTTCACTTACTCCTCACCATGCATATGTTCATATATATATATATATATTATATAGAGAGAGAGATTACTTAAACTGAAAAACAATGGAGTTTTGCCCCCTGGCAAGCAAATCTGGTAAATATTAATTGTTGGAATTTTATTTGCAGGTCCATTTTTTACATTGTAATTTAAGTTTTTATATATTTGTGATGGTATTTTGAAAAATAAAAATTTATTTATTTTTTTCAATATGCACGTCTGAAACAAATTTATATTATGTACACATACAATTAAATTGAGTACATGAACGAGTTACTCCTGTGCATGGCTTAAGTTAAGGCGATGCCTGTTACTACGACATATGATATGTACAAATATATATATATCACGCAAGCACATATTTATTTGCGATGAATAAATATGCATCACGAACATATCACAAGTGATTACATAAGTGACCGTGACCTAAAAGATGGTATTCAATCCTTACTTTCCATAGTTGCCAACAAATAAAGGATCCCAAAGAAAATAGTTATTCAGTAGCATTTGGACTCCATTTTTTTACAATTTCACTTCATATCCCTTTTGAGCCCATAAGTTGGTAAAAACGTTCCTAATTAATTCTATCCAATTATATGAAAATAATTAACAAAAAAGAAAAAAAAAAACATACCCAATGTGAAGACAAAAGTCACACAGATCAGTATGTTCCACTCAAATGCACCATGACCCCCTTTGGACAATTAGAAGACACATCCATAAAACTTTTTTCTTCAATTTCTGCTCATGTCTCGTCTGTTGTGCCACATTATTGCTGGCCTTGAGCACGGTACTTCATATTCTTCTGATTCTCTAATACAATGCATGTTTATTTAGGGTGAATAAATTACAGTATTTTTTTTGTCACAAAAAAATAAAAAAAGAGGAGAAAATACTAGAAGTAATGAACGTAAAAAAAATTAATGTTTATAATGAAAGGGTAATTATGATATTATAAAATTAGAGATGATGTATTGATGAAATTAAGGATTTTTTTATCATTTTAAAAAAAAAAAAAAAAAAAAGTGAAGTGAAATTATAAAAAAGTGGATATATATATATATATATATATATTATGTGCGAATATATATATGTGCTGCTGCTGCTCATTTGCTTACTAACTACTTCACCTCAAGTATTTTTATTTTTTTATTTATTATTATTTTTTATTTGTTAAAAAAAAGTACTCCAATATTAAATTTTATGCACTTACTTCCAAATTTAGACTTCAAAAACAGTTCATTAGGCTCAGTTTGTTGCCTTTTTTCCTTCCCAATGTAAAATCTTGCAACAAAGGCACACAAGACTTGGCATCTAACTAAGGGAAGATTCAGAAATTGTCAATGGGGTAAGTTAAAATTAAACATAAATTAGTAAATTTTTTTTATTAGGGTTTGTTTGGCTGGGGCCTTTATTTTAGTATTGTGGCTTAACTGATTTGGACTTGTTTGAGTGGGCTAATACTAATACTAATTTATTTATTTTTTTGGGCTGGGTTAAATTTACCCATAGTAATTAAGGAAAAAGAAAAAAAAAAATTGGATGAGCCGGAGCCCAGCCCAGCCCTCCCCTAAATCCGCCATTGGATCTAACCGTAAGAATTAATCTTAGGCTTGCAAAATTTGAAATAATAATGAATTTTAAAAAAATTTGACTTATTTTGCATTATTTTTCCTAGATCTAACATAAACATATTATTTCTTTGTAGATCTATAAAAATAATTTGTAGATAGTGTTCCAAGCTTCCAAATTTAATAATTTTTCAAAATTTTGGCCCTTTTTTCTTAAAAAATAAGTAATTATCTTTGATAAATAAAAAATTTATAAATGATTATTTTGCTCTAAAGAGTGTGTCATACATATTAGTATCACATTATACTTATTTTTTTACATCACATGCAAATCGGCAAAACTTGTGACGCAAATTGTGTTACTTTGTTTAGGACTATTTATACCAACTCTAATAAAATTTTAGGGTAAAGTGTGAATGATTGAATTGATTTGTGCCTACACAACAGAGAGCAATTGAGAGAGATTGAGAAGAAATTCTCCATTATAATCCTTCATCTTTTTCATAGTGCAATTTGTTTGGTGCGCTCTGTGGACGTAGTCCTAAGTTTAGGGTGAACCAAGTATATCTTGTGTTCTTATGCGTGATTGTTTTTTGTTCTTTGTGATTGCTTGTTTTACTCCTCGGACATCATTGTTTTTGGGTTTCCGCGCGCAATAACTGGTATCAGAGCATTCGATTGTTTGATTTTTTTGCTAACAACTAGTATCAGAGCCTTTGGTTGAGAACCTTGGATATATAACGTGTTTGACAAAATTCTAGTGAAGTCTTTCGTATCTGACTTGTTTGTTCGAGTGGGAGTAATGGCATTAGAACATAAGACATCCATATCTATAATCGAGAAGTTTGATGGCACAAACTTCAGTTTCTAGAAGATGCAAATTGAGGATCTATTGTTTTAGAAGAATCTGCATCAACCTTTGGGAGAGAAGCCAAAAGATATGGATTGGGAACTACTTGAAAGGAAGGCTCTTGACATCATTAAATTGACATTATCAAAGTCAATCGCCTTCAACATTAAGAACGAGAAGTTGACAAGATCTCTCGTGACAGCTTTTTCTAGTATATATGAATAGTCGTTTAAAGTGAACAAGGTGCACTTGATCAATAAGTTGTTCAACCTGAAGATGGCTGAAGGGGGAAGTTCAACGAGCATCTAAATGCCTTCAACGAGATTGTTGACTAATTAGAGCCTGTTAAGATCGACTTTAAAGACGAGGTCTGAGCACTGCTAATTCTAGGGCAGTTACCCAAGAGTTGGAGTGGCATAGTTTCAGAGATCAGTAGCTCTACAGGGAACACCAAAATGAAGTTTGAAGAAGTTGTTAGCATAATTCTGAATGAAAAAATCAGAAGCAAACAACAGGAGTTTTCACCAGTGGTTTGACTTTGAATGTTGAAAGCAGGGCAGGAGTTCAAACAAGAAGAAAGATAGTGGTAATGGAAATAGAGGCAGATCCAAGTAAAGGAATAGAATGTCATAATCTCGAAATCCCAGGAATTGCACAGGCCTCAGTGATGTCGAGGGCTAGAATTGTCACAAGAAGGGTCATTATTGAATTGATTACAAAGCTCTAAGGAAGAAGAATACCGGAGATAAAATTGAAGCAAACGTTATCTCAGAATAATCAGATGATGCATTGAGATGCTTTTTGGAGAGAAAGGCGGTGTCAGGGGTTTTGGATTCTGGCGCATCATTTCATGCCACATTAAGCAGAGAACTATTAGATAGCTACATACCGAGAAACCTTGGCAAGGTGTATATTGGTGATGATTAGCCCTGTAACGTGGTTGGTGAGGGTGAAGTGTATATCAAGTTAAATGGGTCTATAGGGAGATTGAACGATATGAGGTACATCCTACCTTGAGGAAGATTCTGATTTTGGTGGTACAGTTATAAGATAAAGATTTTATTACAACCTTCAATGGAGATTCATGGAAGGTTTTTAGAGGTGGTATGCCAGTTGCAGGTGGTAAGAAGACTATAACTCTCTACATGACTACCAGTACGTGTGGGTCAATAACAGTTGTAGAAAACAAAGAGGATCACGATCTTTGGCACCAGAGATTAGGTCATATGAGTGAAAGGGGTTTCAAGATTTTGCATTCAAATGGGAAACTACTGGGCATACATGTAATTGACATTAACTAATATGAGAGTTATGTAATACACAAGCAGTAGAGGGCCAGTTTTAAAAAAAGTGGCAAAGATCTCAGAAAGTGCTTGAGCAAGTTCACACAGATATCTAGGGGCAGCCTCAGCCTCAGTCTCATCAATTAGCGAGAAATCCTACTTCATGAGTTTTATTGATGATCACACGAGGAAGGTATGAGTTTCTTTTTTGAAGCGCAAATTTGAGGTATTTGATGCGTTCAAGAGGTGCAAGGCCATGGTGGAGAATGACACAGGTTTGAAGATCAAGAGATTGAAGTCAGACAACGGTGGTAAGTATAGACACCGGATTTAAGAATTTTTGTTTTGAGAATAGGATCAGATTGGAGAGAACTATGCAAGGAACTCCACAACAGAATGAGGTGGTAAAAAGGATGAACCAAACATTAACAGAGAGAGCCAGAAGTATGCACATACATTGATGTAGTTGTGGACCCAGCAGAAATTTTCCTAAAACATAAGGAACATCAAGAAAAGGAAAGAAATGAAGGGAAGACAAGGAGAACCAAAAATTTATAAAAAGTTTTGATTTGTTCCTATTTGATTTTCAGCAACTTTAAATTTTCAGCAACTTTCCTATTTGATTTTGACTTATATGGTAATTAGCTAGTCTTAGGTTTATATAAAGCTTTGTAATTTCTAGGGTTGGATTAGTTTTAGAATTGCAGAGAATTATTTTACGGCAAATATAGTTTGCCTTTCAATTCTCTTTTCTTTTGTTTTTTGTTCTTATTTTGTTTCAATATTGTTGTGGAGACGATTTATGCTATCCTCTTGGTAATGCGGCATCAGTTTAGTATCAGAGCTTAGGTTCGGCTTTTCGGTTGCTCAGTCATGCCTCCACGACAACAACCGAGAGGAGAAAATCGTGGGTTCGACTAAATGATTGTCCCAATAATAGCAAAACGAGATAGAATTTTTGCGGAGAAAAGTTGAGATGTTGACTCAACACTTGAGTTAGTGTGTTATCAACCTTCCAATTAACAACGAACTGCCTGTTGATGACAATATTCCAGTAGATGACAGTATGTCAAGCACTGGGACTATCGCTGAAAATCCTTTTTATGTTCTACGTCGCCATAGATCTCCCAACGAGCATATTAATCGCCGTTGGTAGTCATATATCAAAATCGAGATTCCAAAGTTTTTGGGAAGCTTGAAGCATGAAGAGTTCATTGAGTGGCTAGATACAATTGAACATATCTCTGAATACCATAAGCTACCTGTG